AAAGACTTGGTTGACTTGTCTTATCCTTTTTTGTTCTTTTTTCTACACTTTGTCGAATTTTAAACATATATATTGAATGCTCATTGTAAAAAATTCAAGCTGAAAAATTGGAGGTCTTAGATAGAATTCAAGTTTTTTTAACCAAATTATATGCAACCAGAGAAGCAAATGCTATATTTTTAATTCCTAATAATTGCTATTTGAATCCAAAATTTAATTCAGATATTTTGTTTTAAAAAATGATATTCAACAAGTTAAAGATTTAAATTTGAAACTCACAAACACACATAAACAGACAACCTTAAAACATCAAGATAGCCAAAACTGAAATTGGGTTTTCTCTCGTTCTAAAAACCCACCTTAAAAATAATGCTAAAAGGTCACAAGAGAAAAAAAAATTCTCAAAATTCAAAATCAGAAGGAAAAATAAATATGAACAGAAACTGAAGGAAACCCAAACCAAAATCATACCTTAGCAATCTTGATTTCATCTTCAAGCTCATGAAATCGATTGTTTAATCTTCCAAATTTGTTAATGTTCTGTAGATCTTCCCAAATGACCTCTGTCTCAGATCCTGCAGTACCCTTCAAAATCAAGAGTCATTTAGAAAATAATTGCGTAAATTACGAGAAAATTTACAAAATTAAAGTTTTACCTGTCATAAATTACGTACTAAAATACTATAACTTTATTTTCATATAAGACCACGAATTATATTTGAAGTAATTTTTTTTCAACAATTTGCTTAATTTTAACCAAACATATATAGCAAAGTTTGATTTATCAAAAAAAAAAAAAAAAGAAACTAACTAGAGTAAAAATAATAAGTAAAAAGATTCTTAACTCCATAGACTTGATTGACTTGACCTGACTTGTCCTTTTTTTTTGTTTCTACACTAATGGAATTTTAAACATACATATGAATGCCTTCTATGGAAAATTCAAGCTGAAAAATTGGAAGTCTTGCAAGAAAATTCCTAGCACTTGATGTGATAGAAAATATTTTTCTTTTAACTTTATATATTTGGTGTTGGTAGCAATGATCGGTGTGCAACCATGAGAGCAGTTACAATTTCCTTTTTTGGATTTCTTCTTGTCATCACAGCCACCGTTCTTAGCTTTTGTGATGGGAATTCCAATGTGCTTTGCATTGAAAGTGAGAGGCAAGCTCTTTTGCAGTTCAAGCGACACCTAATTGATCGATCAAACAGGCTATCTTCTTGGGTTGAAGGTGAGGATTGCTGTGAATGGGTTGGTGTTTTCTGCAATAACTTCACTGGCCATGTCAAAGAGCTGCACTTGGGGCTTCATTCAAGTAGTCCTGATGTAGAACTGGATGATGAATGGGATGGTTACTTTCAGTCAGCTGAATGGGATGCTTACTTTCGGTCAAAGCTAGGAGGCAAAATAAATCCTTCTTTGATCGAGTTGAAACATCTCAGTTTCCTAGACTTAAGCAACAACGACTTTGGAGGGCGGGCGATTCCCGAATTCATTGCTTCGCTGAAGAGTTTGACATATCTTAACCTCTCTTCGGCAAATTTCCAAAGAGCAATTCCCCATAATCTTGGAAATCTCTCAAAATTGCATTATCTTGATCTTGGACACAATTTCTTTTCTGAAGCTAAAACTCTTCAATGGGTTTCTGGTCTTTCGTCTCTGCAGTATCTTGATTTGAGCGATGTAGATCTTAGTACAGCAACTGATTGGCTGCCGGTAACAAACAAACTTCCTTCTTTGGTGCAGTTACACTTGTCAGATTGCTATTTAAATAATAATGATCCATCTTCAATCAGTGTTAACTACACATCTCTTGCCGTTCTTAATCTTTCTTCAAACAGGTTGTCTTCGATACCTACATGGATATTCAGTCTTCGTAGTCTTGTGTCCATCGATCTTAACTCTAATGCAGTTGAAGGTGTGATTCCCAATGGTTTTCAGAACATTTCTTCTCTCAAATTTCTTGATCTTAGTTGGAATTCATTCTCTTCATCATCGACACTCAGCTGGTTGTCTAATTTAAACCAACTTCAATTCCTTGGTCTTGGTTGTGTCGGCCTAAAAGGTAATTTTTCAAGTGCTATTGGAAACTTGAGCTCTCTTACTCATCTTGATGTTTCACTTAATGGAATTGATCAAGAGGTATCAGAAATCATAGAGAGTTTGTCTAGATGTTGTTTGGATCGATTAGAGTCATTAAATATTGCATCTAACAAACTTTCTGGCCATTTACCTGATCAACTTGGCCAATTTAAAAATTTGGCATACCTTTCCCTTTCTGGAAACTCTATTTCTGGTCCCATTCCATTCTCAATCGGGAAGTTGTCATCATTGAAATTTCTTTATGTTGCAAAAAATCGATTGAATGCAACTCTTCCTCAAAGTTTAGGGCAACTTGGGAATTTGGAACATTTAGACGTCAGCAATAATATGTTGGAAGGAAATATATCAGAAATGTTCTTTTCTAATCTCTTGAGATTGACAGTTTTTTGGGCATCTAACAACATGTTAACGTTTAAACCAAACCCAAGTTGGATTCCTCCTTTTCAATGGAAAAGTATTGGATTAGGTAACTGGCGTCTTGGTCCGCAATTTCCTCAGTGGCTACAGTTCCAAAGGAACATATCGCGGTTAGATATCTCCCATGCTGGAATTTCAGGTGTCATTCCCACTTGGTTTTGGAACCTTTCAACATCATTTGTATATCTAAATCTTTCCCATAACCATCTAGTCGGGGAGATTTCATATTTACTGAAGAGTAGGACGGTTGACTTGAGGTCCAACCTACTCACAGGTCCATTGCCACGACCAATTTCAAATTTGGAGTTTTTATTTTTGTCTAAGAATCTATTTTCAGGATCCCTTTCTAATATTCTTTGTAATTCCTCAACTAAACTGGAAGAAACTTTGACCATTCTTGACATTGAATCAAATCTTCTGTCAGGTGAAATTCCAGATTGTTGGGAAAATTACCAAATATTGGGAGTCTTAAATTTAGGAAACAACAATCTAACTGGGAAAATTCCTAGATCCTTGGGATATGTAGGTGGTATTGAGTCATTAAACCTTCGTAACAATAACCTGTTTGGAGAAGTACCATCCATATTGCAGCATTTAGCTAATTTGCTTATTCTTGATCTTAGTGAAAATCAATTGACGGGAAGTATTCCAGCATGGATTGGAGACAAGCTTTTAGGCCTTGTGGTTCTAAACCTTCGTTCAAATAAATTCCAAGCCTATATTCCTGATCAAATTTGTGCTCTTAATTCTCTTCAGTTCTTGGATCTTGGTTATAACAACATTTCAGGAGCTATTCCAAAATGTTTTAGTAACCTAAGTGCCATGGCCACAAAACGCATCGACGGAATCTTGTATGTATGGGTCTGGGAATTCAACCCTAACAAAGAGTTTTATTTACACGCATCATTGGTGATGAGAGGAAGAGAGGATGAATATAGTACCACACTAGGACTTGTGATCGGCATAGACCTTTCAGTTAACAGTCTCACAGGAGATATCCCCAAAGAACTTGGTAATATCAAGGAGCTGCGGTCGTTAAATTTGTCAGGAAATCTCCTAACAGGACAGATTCCAGAGAACATTGGCAATATGGAGGAGTTGGAATCTCTTGACTTGTCGATGAACCGACTCCATGGTGAAATCCCTTCAAGTTTCTCCAATTTGAATTTTTTGAATCACTTCAACGTGTCATATAACAACTTGACAGGAAAAATCCCATTAGGCACCCAGCTCCAAAGCTTTGACAAGTTGTCTTACATTGGCAATCTTCTTTGCGGACCTCCAATCACTAAAAATTGCAGCAGCGATAGCGAAACACCTGATGTTAGAAATGGTGGTAGCAGTGAAGGAAGGCACAGGTCTAAGGTGAATTGGCTTTATGTGAGCATGGTGGCTGGATTTGTGATGGGGTTCTGGGGAGTAGTGGCTCCCCTGTTTTTCATCAGGTCTTGGAGGTTTGCTTATTATAAAAAACTGGATCATATTGGTGATAAGCTATACGTGTTTTGGGCTACTATTGGTATGTAATTTGTACTGGATACTTAATAGTATGTAACTTGTACTGGAAGCTCATTACAGTGTGTTTAGTAATGAATAACTTGATTTGCATGCTCTTTACTTGATCCAGGTATTCGGATATGGAAATGGTATTCCATGTTATAATTTATGGAAATGAGATAGAGTTTGTCTTAATATATATCACTCGTAGACTTTTTTTTTTTTGTTAGTTCCCAACAAAAGCATGTTTTGACTATTAATAGGAATGGTTCTCTTTTTTATGGTCCTTTTTTTTATTGGTTTAATGTTAATGCATTTCACATTACGCAAAATGTCATTATTTTAAATCCATGGACGTAATTTTGAATATTTATGTTATTATCAAATAATTATTAATCAAATATATATCGATATTTAAAACCGATTAATTTAAATTTTGGGTTCATTATAAAAATAATTTTAGAGTTTACATTTGTATACAACTTGCAAAAAATTTGTTGTTTTCATATTCAACTTTAAAAAAAAAAACTTTGTTTTCATTTTCAATTATCAAGATTTTACTCATATTTTTTGTTTTCTAAAAAATTAAAAATAATCTTAACTTCTCTAATTTTATTTTTCAAAAATTTTCAAGATTTTTTTCTCTTTTCTAAGACTTAAGAAGTCTTAATTAGTTGGCCGTGAAATTTACTCCATAGTACTCCATAGACTTAAGGAGTCTTTTTTGTTCTTCTTTCTACGCTTTGTGGAATTTCAATGCTTTTTATGAAAAATTCAAGCTGAAAACTTGGAGGTCTTGGAAGAAACTTCCTAGCGCTTGATGTGGTGGAAAATGTTTTCCTTTTAACTTTATATATTCGGTGTTTCATCTAATTATAAATATAACATATATTTGTTAATTAATGATATTAATAAAAATATCAAATATGATAATTTGTAAAATACAAAAAATATATATTCTTTATTTTTACAATTAAAAATATTTATTTTTATTTTTATTTTTAATTACCAAACACATTTTCACTTATATTTTTATTTTCAAAAAATATAAATGAAAATGATTCTATTTTCTAAAAACAAACATCACTTTAACTTCTTTAAATTTTATGTAATTTTAATTTTTCTAAAGTTTTCAATTTTGTCTCTCTTTAGTTGGCCGTGCGACCTAGTCCATAAACTTGGTTGACTTGACTTGGTTTTTCTTTTTTTTTCTACACTTTGTTCAATTTTAAATATACATATAAATGCTATTCCAAGTTGTAAAATTGGAGGTCTTGGAAGAAACTTCCTAGCACTTGATGTGTTGAACTTTGAATTATTGTTTGGTTAGTGGGAAAAGTATTAAAGATTCCACTTTCCTTCTTTGTCCCGACAAACAACCAAAGTCGTCAAATATCCCAATTAAACTGTTTTTGCACTTTACAAGGCCAAGATTCAATGAATAGTCATCTCCTTAAAGTCCAATTCGATATTCAAGTATGGAAAAACATTAAAAATTATCTGAAAATTTTAAAAGAAAATCCAAAAAAATACTGTTAAAAAATAGACTCATGCATGCGTATATTTGTATATATATAGATATAATTATAAAAAAAATCTTAAATAAAAACTCAATAATCATTTGAATCCACAATTTAATTCAAGTGATTTACTTAAAAAAAAATATTTAAGAAGTTCAAGGTTTAAATTTGAAATTCACAAACACATATACTGAAACTGGGTTTTCTCTCGTTCTAAAACACACCTCAAAAATAATGTTAAAAGGTCAAACGAGAAAAAAAAAAATTCTCAAAGTCCAAAACCAGAAGGAAAAATAGATATGAACAGAAACTAAAGTAAACCCAAACCAAAATCAAGCCTTAGCAATCTTGATTTCATCATCAAGCTCATGAAATCGATTGTTTAATCTTCCAAATTTCTTAATGTTCTGTTGATCTTCCCAAGTGACCTCTGTCCCAAATCCTCCAGTACCCTTCAAAATCATTAGTCATTTAGAAAATAATTGTGTAAACTAAGGGAAAATTTACAAAATTAAAGTTTTACCATTCATAAATAACTAAAGTTTTACCTGTCATATATTACGTACATACAGTACTTTTCAATGCATTTATCATTATCATTTACGTGTTTACGATTTAGTTGAAAAAATCATACTAATAAATGGTGATTAAAGTTATATTAAAAATTAATGAAAAATAATAATAAGTGTTAATTACTAAATATAAATTAAAATTTTACAAAATTAAACGTTTAAAATCACATACATAAAGTATTATAACTTCAATTTTGTATAAAATCAGTGTTGTATTTAAATTAATATTCTTTTTCAACAATTTGCTTAATTTTAGCCAAACATATATAGCAAATTTTGATTTAACAAAAAGAAAAAAAAAACTATAGAAAAAAATAATAAGGAAAAAAGTCTTAACTTCTCTAAATTTTATGTAATTTTATCTGTTCTAAATGTTTCATTTTTTATTTCATTTTTTCTCTTTTCTAAGACCTAAAGAGTTAATTGGCTGGTCGTGAAACTTACTTCATAGGCTTGGTTGACTTGATTTCTTTGTCAAATTCTTTTTATGTTGCTTCTACACTTGGGGAAGTTAATTCATACATATTATGATTTTGTGGAAAATTCAAGCTGGAAATTTAAATTGGAGGTCTTGGAAGAAAGTTCCTAGCACTTGATGTGGTGGAAAATATTTTTCATTTTTATATATTCGGTGTTGGTAGCAATGATCAATATGCAACCATGAGAGCGGTTACAATTTCCTTGTTTGGATTTCTTCTTGTCATCGCAGCCACCATTATTAGCTTTTGTGATGGGAATTCCAATGTACTTTGCATTGAAAGTGAAAGGCAAGCTCTTTTGAAGTTCAAGCAACACCTAATTGATCGATCAAACAGGCTATCTTCTTGGGTTGAAGGTGAGGATTGCTGTGAATGCCTTGGTGTTTTATGCAATAACTTGACCGGCCATGTCAAAATGCTGCACTTGGGGCTTAGTAGTCCTTATGAGGATGCGTCAGATGCTGAATGGGATGCTTATGTTGGGTCAAAGCTAGGAGGCGAAATAAATCCTTCTTTGATCGAGTTGAAACATCTCAGTTTCCTAGACTTAAGCAACAACGACTTTGGAGGTCTGTCGATTCCCGAATTCATTGGTTCGCTGAAGAGTTTGACATACCTTAACCTCTCTTCGGCAAATTTCCAAACGCCAATTCCCCATAATCTTGGAAATCTCTCAAAATTGAATTATCTTGATCTTGGACACAAGTGCCTATTTGAAGCTAAAACTCTTCAATGGGTTTCTGTTCTTTCGTCTTTGCTGTATCTTGATTTGAGTTATGCAAATCTTACTAAAGCAACTGATTGGCTGCAGGCAACACACAAACTTCCTTCTTTGGTGGAGTTACACTTGTCAGGATGCTTTCTAAATAATAATCCATCTCCAATCAGTGTTAATTACACATCTCTTACTGTTCTTGATCTTTCCAGAAACACGTTGTCTTCGGTACCTACATGGATATTCAGTCTTCGTAGTCTTGTGTCCATTGATCTTAACTCTAATGGAGTTGAAGGTGTGATTCCCAGTGGTTTTCGAGACATGTCTTCTCTCAAATTTCTTGATCTTAGCTTCAATTCATTCTCTTCATCATCGACACTCAACTGGTTGTCTAATTTAAACCGACTTCAATTCCTTGGTCTTCGTGGTGTCAGCCTGCAAGGTAATTTTTAAATTGCCACTGGAAACTTGAGCTCTCTTACTTATCTTGATCTTTCAGATAACCAGCTTGAAATTATAGAACCCAAATGTTTGGAAAGTCTTTGCAATCTGAGAGAGATGGATTTGTCAAATAATGGAATTGATCAAGAGGTATCAGAAGTCATAGAGAGTTTGTCTAGATGTAGTTTGGATCGATTAGAATCATTAAATATTGCATCTAACAAACTTTCTGGCCATTTACCTGACCAACTTGGCCAATTTAAAAATTTGGTATACCTTTCCCTCTCTGGAAACTCCATTTCTGGTCCCATTCCATTCTCAATAGGGAAGTTATCATCATTGAAAGTTCTTGATGTTTCACACAATCGATTGAATGCAACTCTCCCTCAAAGTTTAGGACAACTAGGGAATTTGGAACATTTAGACGTTAGCAATAATATGTTGGAAGGAAATATATCAGAAATGCACTTTTCTGATCTCACGAGATTAGATTATTTTTCGCATCTAACAACATGTTAACGTTTAAACCAAATCCAAGTTGGATTCCTCCTTTTCACTGTGATAGTATTGAATTGCGTAACTGCCATCTTGTTCCGCAATTTCCTCAGTGGCTACAATTCCAAAAGAATTTGTCTCTTTTAGATGTCTCACATGCTAAAATATCAGGTGTCATTCCCACTTGGTTTTGGAACCTTTCGACTCAATTTGAATATCTAAACCTTTCCAACAACCAACTAGTCGGGAAGATTTCATATTTTCCGAGGAGTTTGATTGTTGACTTGAGTTCCAACCTATTCACAGGTCCATTGCCACAGGCACCCTCAGATTTGATGTTTTTATTTTTGTCTAAGAATCTATTTTCAGGATCCCTTTCTAATATTCTTTGTAATTGCTCAACTAAACTGGAAACTTTGACCATTTTGACATTGAATCAAATCCTCTGTCTGGTGAAATTCCAGATTGTTGGGAAAAATGGCAAATGTTGGAAGTCTTAAATTTAGGAAACAACATCTAACTGGGAAAATTCTTAGATCCTTGGGATCTTTGAGTTATATTATGTCATTAAACCTTCATAGCAATAACCTGTTTGGACAAGTACCTTCCACATTGCAGCATTTAGTTGGTATGCGTATTCTTGATCTTAGCAAAAATCAATTGACTGGAAGTATTTCAGCGTGGATTGGAGACAAGCTCTCAAATCTTGAGGTTCTAAACCTCCGTTCAAATCACTTTCAAGCCTATATCCCTGATCAAATTTGTGCTCTTAAGTCTCTTCATTTCTTGGATCTTGGTTATAACAACATTTCAGGAGCTATTCCAAAATGTTTTAGTAACCAAAGTGACATAGCCACAAAACGGCCCAGCGGATTCATGGATGGGCCCTTGGAATTCGGCCTTGGCCTAACGCTTTATTTAAGGGCATTATTGGTGATGAGAGGAAGAGAGGATGAATATAGTACCACACTAGGACTTGTTACCGGCATAGATCTTTCAGTTAACAGTCTCTCAGGAGAGATCCCCAAAGAACTTGGTAATCTCAAGTGGCTGCGGTCATTAAATTTATCAGGAAATCTCCTAACAGGACAGATACCAGAAAACATTGGCAATCTGGAGTTGGAATCTCTTGACTTGTCGATGAACCGACTCCATGGTTAAATCCCTTCAAGTTTCTCCAATTTGAACTTTTTGAATCACTTCAACGTGTCATATAACAAATTGACAGGACAAATTCCATCAGGCACCCAGCTCCAAAGCTTTGACAGGTTTTCTTACATTGGCAATCATCTTTGCGGACCTCCAATCACAAAAAATTGCGGCAGAAATGGCGAAACACCTGAAATTACAAATGGAGATAGCAGTGAAGGAAGGCACAGGTCTGAGGTGAATTGGCTTTATGTGAGCATAGTGGTTGGATTTTTTATGGGGTTTTGGGTAGTTGCTCCCCTGTTTGTCATCAGGTCTTGGAGGCTTGCTTACTATAAAAAACTAGAGCATATTGGTGATAAGCTAAACGTGTTTTGGGCGTATGTAATTTGTACTGGAAGCTCATTTTGGTGTGTTTGATAATGTAATAACTTGATTTGTATGCTCTTTACTTGATCCATATATTCGGATTTGCTGGTAATATTCCATGTTATAATTTATTCAAATGAGATAGAATTATGTCTTAATTTATTTCATTTATATATGTCTATTAGAGTTTTATTCAATATAAGGTGAAAGGTAACTTTAAATAGGGCAAAATCATTGATCCTCTCATTTGAAATATTTGTCACCCTAATCATATTTATGATTTTTGATGTGTTGTTCAAAAGTAAAATTCTAAGCCAACGAGGACTTGGGATAGTAATAAAGGGAAAGTTCTAAAACTTTGATATTTTAGATTCAAGGATCATCGTACATGAGTTTTGGTTTAATTTTATGTTAAATTTACTTATTTTTATTATTTTTTATTGGTTTAGTGATTTATTTATATTTATTTTTAAGGATATGTTTACTTTTAGATTTATTCATTAATAATGTATCATTGTATGATTATCTAATAGTATATAAAAATCCATACACGATTAATATATCAAATATTAATCCTTTATATATATATGTAATAGTTATTATGATTGTAACTCTTTTTGTATTTGTAATTTCAAAAAAATTATCAAACTTTTATCAATAATTACTATAATAACATAAAAAATTTCCAAAATTATATTAAAGGCTATAAAAATTTTTTATAAATGTTTATCAAACTTCTAACATTGGTTATAAATTATATTAAAGGTATTTAAAATCAAAATTATATAAAAATTATCAAGATATTATAAAATATTATTAAAATTTTATCCAAAATTATCAAATTATATTACCCAAAAAAAAAAGAATCTTTGACAAATGGAAAGGAGAAAAAGCAATTTCAAAATCCCACTTTCTTTCATGTTGGGTAAGATCTTAAGAAAGATTGCCTTTTCCCAACTAAATCTTGCATTCAAGCAAACCAATTTTACTTAATTAAAGACAATAATTTCACGGCTTTCTTGGTTAGTTTATCAATTTTTTAATCAATGTGCTTGCCAAAGAATAAATTTATAGGCTTTGGCTTTGGGGGTAATTCATGGTCATTAGACACAAAAATGGCAGTCAATTTGGTTATAAAACAGGGTTCATTCAACTTATTCTAAAGACTTTTTTTTTTTTTTCAGTTCCCAACAAAAGGATGTTTTGACTATTAATAGGAATCTTTCTCTTTTTTTATGGTCCCCTTTTTTTATTGGTTTAATGTTAATGCATTCCATGTTAAGCATAGTGGCATTATTTTAAATCCATTTACTTAATTTTGAATCTCTATGCTTATCATCAAATAATTGCTAATTAAACATATATCAATCTTCTAAATTGATTAAATTAAATTTTGGATTTATTATAAAAATAATTTTAGAATCAACATTTGTATACAACTTGTAATAAAAATTTTCATTTTCATAAATCAATCTATTTTTATTTTTTTCTAAAAACTTATTTTTTAAAAATTTATTTTCATTTTCAATTATCAAATAGGTTTTCACTCATATTTTTTTTAATTTTTTAAAAATTTTAAAAATAAAAATAATCTTATTTTTTTTGAAACGAACACTGTTTTAACTTCTCTAATTTTATTTTTTCAAATTTTTCAATTTTTTTTTCTCTTTTCTCAAACCTAAGGAGTCTTAATTAGTTGATTGTGGAATTCACTCCATAGACTCGGATGATTTGACTTGCCCTTTTTTTATTCTTCTTTCTACACTTTGTTGAATTTTAAACATACATATGAATTCTTTTTTGTGAAAAATTCAAACTGAATAATTGGAGGTCTTAGAAGAAACTTCCTAACATCTGATATTGTGGAAAATGTTTTTCTTTGAAGTTTTATATATTCGTTGCTGTTATCAACGATCAGTATGCAGCCAAGAACGCGGTTACAATATCCTTGTATCAAATATTATTAAAATTTTATCTAAAATTATCAAGTTATATTCATTTCACTCTCCTAAAAATAGAATCTTTGAAAAATGAAAAGGACAAAAGCAAATTCCAAAATCCCTGTTTCATGTTAGGTAAGATCTTAAAGAAAGATGCTTTTCCAACTAAATCTTGCATTCAAGCAAACACAATTTTATTTAATTAAATTGGCCGTCTTGGAAGAAAGTTCCTAGCACTTGATGTGGTGGAAAATATATACTTTTTTATATATATTCGGTGTTGGTAGCAATGATCAATATGCAACCATGAGAGCGGTTACAATTTCCTTGTTTGGATTTCTTCTTGTCATCGCAGCCACCATTATTAGCTTTTGTGATGGGAATTCCAATGTGCTTTGCATTGAGAGTGAGAGGCAAGCTCTTTCGAAGTTCAAGCAACACCTAATTGATCGATCAAACAGGCTATCTTCTTGGGTTGAAGGTGAGGATTGCTGTGAATGGGTTGGTGTTTTCTGCAATAATTTCACTGGCCATGTCAAAGCGCTGCATTTGGGGCATCATTCAAGTAGTCCAGGATGGGATGGTTACGTTCATTCAGCTGAATGGTATGCTTACTTTCAGTCAAAGCTAAGAGGAAAAATAAATCTTTCTTTGATCGAGTTGAAACATCTCAGTTTCCTAGACTTAAGCAACAACGACTTTAGAGGCCTGGCAATTCCTGAATTCATTGGTTCGATGAAGAGTTTGATATATCTTAACCTCTCTTTGGCAAATTTTGGCAGAGCGATTCCCCATAGTCTTGGAAATCTCTCAAAATTACGTTATCTTGATCTTGGACGCAATTCCTTTTCTGAAGCTAAAACTCTTCAATGGGTTTCTGGTCTTTCGCCTCTGCAGTATCTTGATTTGAGTGATGCAAATCTTACTAAAGCAATTGATTGGCTGCAGGCAACACAAAAACTTCCTTCTTTGGTGGAGTTACACTTGTCAGGATGCACGTTAAATAATGATCCATCTTCAATCAGAGTGATTCCCAATGGTTTTCAAAACATGTCTTCTCTCAAATTTCTTGATCTTAGTTGGAGTTCATTCTCTTCATCATCGACACTCAACTGGTTGTCTAATTTAAACCGACTTCAATTCCTTGGTCTTCGTAGTGTCAACCTGCAAGGTAATTTTTCAATTGCCATTAGAAACTTGAGCTCTCTTACTCATCTTGATCTTTCAGATAACCAGCTTGAAACTATAGAACCCAAATGTTTGGAAAGTCTTTGCAATCTGAGGGAGATAGATTTGTCAAATAATGTAATTGATCAAGAAGTATCAGAAATCATAGCGAGTTTGCCTAGATGTAGTTTGGATCGATTAGAATCATTAAATATTGCATCTAACAAACTTTCCGGCTATTTACCCGATCAACTTGGCCAATTTAAAAATTTGGCATACCTTTCCCTTTCTAATAACTCCATTTCTGGTCCCATTCCATTCTCAATAGGGAAGTTATCATCATTGAAAGTTCTTGATGTTTCACACAATCGATTGAATGCAACTCTCCCTCAAAGTTTAGGACAACTTGGGAATTTGGAAGATTTAGACGTTAGCAATAATATGTTGGAAGGAAATATATCAGAAATGTTCTTTTCTAATCTCTTGAGATTGACATTTTTTTGGGCATCTAACAACATGTTAACGTTTAAACCAAACCCAAGTTGGATTCCGCCTTTTCAGTGGAATAGTGTTGGATTGGGTAACTGTTGACTTGGTCCGCAATTTCCTCAGTGGCTACAGTTCCAAAGGAACATGTCTACGTTAGATATCTCTCATGCTGGAATTTCAGGCGCCATTCCCACTTGGTTTTGGAACCTTTCAACATCATTGAATATCTAAACCTTTCCCATAACCAACTAGTCGGGGAGATTTCATATTTACCAGGTGGTAGGGCTATTGACTTGAGTTACAACCAATTCACAGGTCCATTGCCACGGGCATCCTCATACTTGGGTTTTTTATTTTTGTCTGAGAATCTAATTTCAGGATCCCTTTCTAATTTTCTTTGTAATTCCTCAACTAAACTGGAATATTTGGGCCTTCTTTACATTGAATCAAATCTTCTGTCAGGTGAAATTCCAGATTGTTGGGAAAATTTGCCAGAGTTGGATGTCTTAAATTTAGGGAACAACAAACTAACTGGGAAAATTCCTAGATCTTTGGGATCTATCGGTGGTATTTGGTCATTAAACCTTCGTAACAATAACCTGTTCGGAGAAGTACCATCCACATTGCAGCATTTAACTTATTTGTATATTCTTGATCTTAGTGAAAATCAATTAACAGGAAGTATTCCAGCATGGATTGGAGAGAATCTCTCAAACCTCGTGGTTCTAAACCTCCGTTCAAATAACTTTCAAGACTATATTCCTGATCAAATTTGTGCTCTTAATTCTCTTCAGTTCTTGGATCTTGGTTATAACAACATTTCAGGAGCTATTCCAAAATGTTTTAGTAACCTAAGTGCCATCGCCACAAAACCCCTCAATGGAGACTTGTTTAAATGGACCTTGGTATTCAACCCTGACTACTGGTTTTATTTGGATGCATTATTGGTGATGAGAGGAAGAGAGGATGAATATAGTACCACACTTGGACTTGTTACCGCCACAGACCTTTCAGTTAACAGTCTCACAGGAGAGATCCCCAAAGAACTTGGCAATCTCACGTGGCTGCGGTCATTAAATTTGTCAGGGAATCTCCTTACAGGAAAGATACCAGAGAACATTGGCAATATGATGTTGTTGGAATCTCTTGACTTGTCGATGAACCGACTCCATGGTGAAATCCCTTCAAGTTTCTTCAATTTGAATTTTTTGAATCACTTCAACGTGTCATGTAACAGCTTGACAGGAAAAATCCCATCAGGCACCCAGCTCCAAAGCTTTGACAGGTTTTCTTACATTGGCAATCATCTTTGCGGACCTCCAATCACTAAAAATTGCAGCAGAAATGGCGAAACACCTGATGTTATAAATGGAGGTAGCAGTAAAGGAAGGCACAGGTTTGAGGTGAATTGGCTTTACGTGAGCATGGTGGTTGGATATGTGATGGGGTTTTGGGGAGTAGTGGCTCCCCTGATTTTCATCAGGTCTTGGAGGTTTGCTTATTATAAAAAACTGGAGCATATTTGTGATAAGCTATACGTGTTTTGGGCTACTATTGGTATGTAATTTGTACTGGATGCTAAATAGTACGTAATTTATACTGGAAGCTCATTACAGTGTGTTTAGTAATGAATAACTTGATTTGCATGCTCTTTACTTGATCTAGGTATTCGGATATGAAAATGATATTCCATGTTATAATTTATTGAAATGAGCTAAAGTTGTGTCTTAATAAATATCACTTATAGATGTCTATTCGAGTTTTATTCAATATGGGATGAAAGTACTTTTAAAGAGGGCTAAATCATTGATCCTTTAAATTGAAATATTTGTCGTCTTAGTCATATTTATGATTTTGATTTGTTGTTCAAAAGCAAAAACTAAGCCAACGAGGGCTTAGGTTAATAAAGTGAAAGTTCTAAAATTTTAACGTCTTAGATTAAAATCTAATCATACATGAGTTTGATTCAATTTCAAATTGAATTTGTCTATGTTTTGATTTGTTGATTGGTTTAATGATTTATTTATATTTATTTTTAAAGATCTGTTTTCTTTTAGTTTTATTAATGATGTATAATCATATGGTTATATGATAGTATATAGAATCTATGCCTGGTTAGTATATCAAATATTAACTCTTCTTATATATTGATGTAGTAGTTATTATGATTGTAACTTTTTTTGTATTTGTAAAAATTATCAAAATTTTATCAATAATTACTATAATAATATAAAAAATTACCTAAATTGTATTAAAGGTTACAAAAAGTTTTAATAAATGATTATCAAACTTCTAACATTGGTTATAAATTATATTTAAAATCAAAATTATATAAAAATTATTATAATTGTATCAAATATTATTAAAATTTTATCCAAAATTATCAAATTATATTCATTTCACTATTAATAGGAATCGTTCTCTTTTTTTATTGGTTTAATGTTAATGCATTCCATGTTAAGCATAATGGCATTATTTTAAATCTATTTACTTAATTTTGAATCTCTATGCTTATCATCAAATAATTGCTAATTAAACATATATCAATCTTCTAAATTGATTAAATTAAATTTTGGATTTATTATAAAAATAATTTTAGAATCAACATTTGTATACAACTTGTAATAAGAATTTTCATTTTCATAAATCAATCTATTTTTATTTTTTCCTAAAAACTTATTTTTTAAAAATTTATTTTCATTTTCAATTATCAAATAGGTTTTCACTCATATTTTTTATTTTTTTAAAAATTTTAAAAATAAAAATAATCTTATTTTTTTGAAACGAACACTGTTTTAACTTCTCTAATTTTTTTTTTTCTAAATTTTTCAATTTTTTTTTCTCTTTTCTCAAACCTAAGGAGTCTTAATTAGTTGATTGTGGAATTCACTCCATAGACCCGGATGATTTGACTTGCCCTTTTTTTATTCTTCTTTCTACACTTTGTTGAATTTTAAACATACATATGAATTCTTTTTTGTGAAAAATTCAAACTGAATAATTGGAGGTCTTAGAAGAAACTTCCTAACATCTGATATGGTGGAATGTTTTTCTTTTAAGTTTTATATATTCGTTGTTGGTATCAACGATCAGTATGCAGCCAAGAACGCGGTTACAATATCCTTGTATCAAATATTATTAAAATTTTATCTAAAATTATCAAGTTATATTCATTTCACTCTCCCATCAAAAATAGAATCTTGAAAAAATGAAAAAGGACAAAAAGCAAATTCCACAAATCCCCTGTTTCAGTTAGGTAGATTTAAAGAAAGATGCTTTCCAACTAAATCTTGCATTCAAGCAAACACAATTTTATTTAATTAAATTGGCCGCTCTTGGAAGAGAGTTCCTACCTTTGATGTGGTGGAAAAATATATACTTTTTTATATATACTTCGGGTGTTGGTAGCATGATCAATATCAACCATGAGAGCGGTTGACATTCCCTTGTTTGGATTTCTTCTTGTCATCGCAGCCACCATTATTAGCTTTTGTGATGGGAATTCCAAATGGTGCTTGCATTGAGAGTGAGAGGCAAAGCTTCTTTCGAAAGTTCAACAACACCTATTGATTCGATCAAACAGGCCTATCTTCTTGGGTGAAGGTGAGGATTGCTGTGAATGGGTTGGTGTTATTCCTGCAATAATTTCCCACTGGGCCATGTCAAGAGCTGCATTTGGGGCTTCATTCAAGTAGTCCTGACATAGAACTGGATGATGAACGGGATGTTTACTTTCAGTCACCTGAACGGAATGCTTACTTTCGGTCAAAGCTAGGAGGCAAAATAATCCTTCTTTGATCGAGTTGAAACATCTCAGTTTCCCTAGACTTAAGCAACAACGACTTTGGAGGCCTGGCAATTCCTGAATTCATTGGTTCGATGAAGAGTTGACATATCTTAACCTCTCTTCGGCAAAATTCAGCAGAGCAATTCCCCATAATCTTGGAAATCTCTCAAAATTACATTATCTTGATCTTGGACACAATTCCTTTTTTGAAGCTAAAACTCTTCAGTGGGTTTCTGGTCTTTCATCTCTGCAGTATCTTGATTTGAGTGATGCAAATCTTACTAAAGCAACTGATTGGCTGCAGGCACACACAAACTTCCTTCTTTGGTGGAGTTGCACTTGTCAGATTGCTATTTAAATAATAATGATCCATCTTCAATCAGTGTTAACTACACATCTCTGCCGTTCTTGATCTTTCTCAAACATGTTGTCTTCGATACCTACATGGATGTTCAGTCTTCCGTAGTATTGTGTCATTGATCTTAGCCTAATGGAGTTGAAGGTGTGATTCTCAAATGGTTTCAAAACATATCTCTCTCAATTTCTTGATCTTAGTTTGGAATTCATTCTCTTCATCATCAATCACTCCATCTGGTTGTCTATCTTTGAACCCAACTTCATTCCTTTGTCTTCGTGGTGTCAGCCCTGCAAGTAATTTTTTCATTGCCATTAGAAACTTTGGAGCTCTCTTACTCATCTTGTCTTTCAGATAACCAGCTTTGAAATTATAGAACCCAAATGTTTGGAAAGTCTTTGCAATCTGAGGGAGATGGATTTGTCAAATAATGGAATTGATCAAGAAGTATCAGAAATATAGAGAGTTTGCCTAGATGTAGTTTGGATCGATTAGAATCATTAAATGTTGCATCTAACCAACTTTCTGGCTGTTTACCTGATCAACTTGGCCAATTTATAAATTTGGCATACCTTTCCCTTTCTGGAAACTCTATTTCTGGTCCCATTCCATTCTCAATCGGGAATTTGTCATCATTGAAACTTCTTGATGTTGCATACAATCGATTGAATGCAACTCTCCCTCAAAGTTTAGGACAACTTGGGAATTTGGAACATTTAGACGTTAGCAATAATATGTTGGAAGGAAATATATCAGAAATGCACTTTTCTAATCTCAAGAGATTGAGATTATTTTGGGCATCTAACAACATGTTAACGTTTAAACCAAATCCAAGTTGGATTCCTCCTTTTCATTGTGAAAGTATTAAACTGCGTAACTGGCATATTGGTCCGCAATTTCCTCAGTGGCTACAATTCCAAAAGAATTTGTCTGTTTTAGATATCTCACATGCTGAAATTTCAGGTGTCATTCCCACTTGGTTTTGGAACCTTTCGACTCAATTTGATTATATAAACCTTTCCTATAACCATCTAGTTGGGGAGATTTCATATTTACCGAAGAGTAGGACGGTTGACTTGATGTCCAACCTCCTCACTGGTCCATTGCCACGAGCAAATTCAAATTTGGAGATTTTATTTTTGTCTAAGAATCTATTTTCAGGATCCCTTTCTAATTTTCTTTGCAATTCCTCAAGTAAACTGGAAGCTTTGGACCTTCTTGACATTGAATCAAATCTTCTGTCAGGTGAAATTCCAGATTGTTGGGAAAATCAGCCAATGTTGGGAGTCTTAAATTTAGGAAACAACAATCTAACTGGCAAAATTCCTAGATCCTTGGGATCTTTGCGGAATATTATGTCATTAAAACTTCGTACCAATAACCTGTTTGGAGAAGTACCATCCACATTGCAACATTTAGCTTATATGGTTATTCTTGATCTTAGTGAAAATCAATTGACGGGAAGTATTCCAGCTTGGAATGGAGACAAGCTTTTAAACCTTGTGGTTCTAAACCTTCGTTCAAATAAATTCCAAGCCCATATTCCTGATCAAATTTGTTCTCTTAATTCTCTTCATTTCTTGGATCTTGGTTATAACAACATTTCAGGAGCCATTCCAAAATGTTTTAGTAACCTAAAACCCTTGGACCGAGACGGTTTTGCCTGGGGTTTGTTAATTGACTCTTACAACTTGTATTATTTTGGTGCATTATTGGTGAGGAAAGGAAGAGAGGATGAATACAGTACCATACTAGGTCTTGTTACCGGCATAGACCTATCAGTAAACAGTCTCACAGGAGAGATCCCCAAAGAACTTGGCAATCTCACGTGGCTGCAGTCATTAAATTTGTCAGGGAATCTCCTTACAGGAAAGATACCAGAGAACATTGGCAATATGAAGTTGTTGGAATCTCTTGACTTGTCGATGAACCGATTGCATGGTGAAATCCCTTCAAGTTTCTCCAATTTGAATTTCTTGAATCACTTGAACTTGTCCTACAACAACTTGACAGGACAAATTCCATCAGGCACCCAGCTCCAAAGCTTTGACAGGTTTTCTTACATTGGCAATCATCTTTGCGGACCTCCAATCACTAAAAATTGCAGCGGTGGAACACCTGGAATTACAAATGGAGATAGCAGTGAAGGAAGGCACAGGTCTAAGGTGAATTGGCTTTATGTGAGCATAGTGGTTGGATTTGTGATGGGGTTTTGGGGAGTAGTGGCTCCCCTGTTTTTCATCAGGTCTTGGAGGTATGCTTACTATAAAAAGCTAGAGCATATTGGTGATAAGCTATACGTGTTTTGGGCTACTATTGGTATGTAATTTGTACTGGAAGCTCATTTTGGTGTGTTTGGTAATGTAATAACTTGATTTGCATGCTGTTTACTTGATTCATGTATTTGGATTTGGACGTAATCTTTCATGTTATAATTTATTTAAATGAGATAGAGTTGTGTCTTAATTTATTTCACTTATCGATATCTATTTAAGTTTTATTCAATATGGAATAAAAGTTATCTACTACAAATTTAAACTTTTCAAAACTCAGAATAATTTTAAATGATATATAGGAAATTAGTGTCCAGTCATTAACTAGATAATTTCTTATCAAGGGAGAAAAAAGTTATTCATGTCTAACATATTTTTTTAATGTTCCTCATCTTCTATTCAATTTGCAAAATCGTTGCTTGGCAACCCTATGGATGGAATAATTTATCTTTTATTACCAAGTAAGTACAAAAAATTTGCCTTTGGCGAGCCATTTATTTGACTGCAATGTCCTTTTTTACATTTAAATAATGCATTTAAAATTGCATTTTTTTCATTTCAAATTTGATCTTTTTGACTTCACTAATGCAAACCCTTCCTATATAATGTGACATTAGGCGATAGATCAATCATGAAGGGCCTATCCAAAAGACATTTTTAGTTTACATGGGTCGAATTATGTATGTCATGAAAAACCAATTCATACCCTTTAGTATTGAATTATTAATTAATCCCTAACTACAAAACATTAATTAGAATGAATTCTTTGTGTAATTTTTTTACTTAATATCTTTATTTTGTTAATTTTGAACGCATAATTTTGTGAATTACTTTCGTCTTCATCTTAAAAATCGTTCAACAATCATAATTTATAAATAAAATATTAAAGTTTTTGTTTCAACTATTAGAATCATTTTTAAAATTTTTAAATAAAAAACTAAATGATTTATTGAATTTCATATAAGCAAACTATTTATAAACATAAAGAAAACAAGTTTTTTTGGCTGCGGGAGTGATGATGTTATGGCCATGGTGATATACATATGGCATGGCCAACATGATGCAAAACCCAAATTTAATTACCCCAAAAAGCTGACAAAAGAGAAAGCAAGGGATGATAAGGAGTGGCCTTGAGCTACAAAACGAGAGATTTAGCCTAAAAAAGAGGCGCATTGCCAGCCAACCTACACTCAGAAATCTTCCCTCGTGTGGGCTACCTGTCCCACAAAGCCTACTGCACCATCCCCTGGACGCCACACGTGTGCATTCCAATCCCTAAACACTGTCAGCATCTCTCAGACACCACACGTGTGGCCAATTTTACATTTTTTTCGTTGTTCTTTCCTCTCTTATCAGTGTATCGTACACTATATTTGTTAGGAATATCAATTTTATATAAACTAGTGCTGTAGCCCTGTTTTGTTTGGGATTGACTGATATTAATAATTTTTTTAAAGTATATTAGAAAGATAAAATTAAAGATATTTAAATGCATTATATTTGTATTTATATATTAAATAAAAAATTGAAAGTAACACATAAAAAAAATAGTATAATTTAGTGAGAGATTACAAAGTTAATATTATAATTTTGTTTTATGTACCAAATAAAATAAAAGCATGAAATAAATTTATATACAAAAATAGACTCCCTCAAACAAAATCTAATTAAAAAAATAAGTTCCATTTCCTCTCACCACAAAACCCATTAAATCTAAAAAATTGGACGGCTATTATGTGTAAAAACTTATACAATAACAAACTCTTTAAAAATCCGACCTATAAAACAACCTATATTTCCTCACACCTCAAAGCCGATTAAACCCAAAAAAAAAAAAAAAGTTGTTATGTGTAGAAGGTTTATTCATATTCTCTCACATCTCAAAGCCCACTAATCCCAAAAAAAAAAAAAAAAAGTCATGTATAGATGGTTTATGAGACTCATTTTATAGATATCAGTATAGATTTAACAAAAATTTGATTTTTTATCTTGATAAGGTAAAGATGAGTTTTAAATTTTGAGACGGTGATAAAATTAAATTTTAAATATGATTTTAAAATTTTGTATCAGTACAAATATAAAGATAGATAATATAGTATTTACTTCGTACTTGTACTCGTATCTTATAAATATTTATTTATATTTAATAAATTAATTTTTTATTCAATAATATAAATTTCATTTTAGATTAATTAGAATTGATATATACATATTTATATATATATTAAAAAAATTATATAAATTTACAAGATAAAAATTAAAAAAAAACTAAACACAATTATTTTTTATTTTTTATAACAAGCGCTAAGGGTACGGAAATTATCTATACCCATTACATACCACAGGAATGAGGATAAATTTGAAATATCCATGGAATATAGTTCTAAGCTAAGAATAATATAAAAAATTAGGAATGATAATAAAAATAAAAAATGTTCTATTCGCCCCATATCATACTTACTAACATCCCTAATATTTGACTATATCCATGAAAAACCCAAATTTTACTCTTGATGTTTAGCTCATTTAATTTATATTGTCAATTTAAAAATTGATATTAAATTTGTTTAAAATTCAAATAACTATAATTATAACTTTTTATATTTTCAAATTTTAATTTTTTTTAAAAAAACCTATATATTTTTATATTTTCAAATTTCGATTTTTAAACCCAAAACTCGTAAATTTGTTTTGGAGTTTAGCTTTTACATGACATTTTTGCATTGGCAATAACATGCATGCTTCCATCATAGCTTTTTTTGTCCTCCTAACCAAGAATAACAACAAGAACTTTGGTCTTTTGAAAAACTTAATTGGATTTGGGATAGGAAGGATAGGAAGGAGGATGGCGACTTCATAAATCACCAACAAAAGCTTTGAATTAGGAGTAAGATATAACTATAATTGGAATTAATGAGAGACTTAAGGATAAGGAATGCATAACCCACAATTCAATTAGCTAGACCTTAAGTTCATCTTCTTAAGTCAATTATGGAGACTAAGGCAAAGTTTTTCATGTATGTAACCTAATATTCAATCTATTAATTATATAATATATTTTCAAAAATATATCTAACATATTTAAGATTTAAAATTTAATAACTGTAATATCTTCACCTATTTTCAAAATTGTAATTTTTTTGTAAAAAAAGTTAGCAAATAAAAATTGCATTATCAATCTTGGACACAATTACCTACTTGAAGCTAAAACTCTTCCATGGGTTTCTGGTCTTTCGTCTCTGCAGTTTCTTGATTTGAGTGATGCAAATCTTACTAAAGCAATTAATTGGCTGCAGGCAACACACAAACTTCCTTCTTTGGTGGAGTTACACTTGTCAGAATGCTCTCTAAACAATAATCCATCTCCAATCAGTGTTAATTACAAATCTCTTACTGTTCTTGATCTTTCCGGAAACACGTTGTCTTCGGTACCTACATGGATATTCAGTCTTCGTAGTCTTGAGTCCATTGATCTAAAATCTAATGGAGTTGAAGATGTGATTCCCAATGGTTTTCAAAACATGTCTTCTCTCGAATTTCTTGATCTCAGTTGGAATTCATCCTCTTCATCATCGACACTCAGCTGGTTGTCTAATTTAAACCAACTTCAGTTCCTTGGTCTTCGTGACGTCGGCCTGCAAGGATTTTTCCAAGTGCCATTGGAAACTTGATCTCTCTTACTCATCTTTATCTTTCAGATAACCAGCTCGAAATTATAGAACCCAAATGTTTGGAAAGTCTTTGCAATCTGAGGGAGATGGATTTGTCAAATAATGGAATTGATCAAGAGGTATCAGAAATCATAAAGAGTTTGTCTAGATGCAGTTTCGATCGATTAGAGTCATTAAATATTGAATCTAACTAACTTTCTGGCCATTTACCTGATCAACTTGGCCAATTTAAAAATTTGGCATACCTTTCCCTTTCTGGAAACTCCATTTCTGGTCCCATTCCATTCTCAATCGGGAAGTTATCATCATTGAAAGTTCTTGATGTTTCACACAGTCGATTGAATGCAACTCTCCCTCAAAGTTTAGGACAACTTGGGAATTTGGAAGATTTAGACGTTAGCAATAATATGTTGTAAGGAAATATATCAGAAATGCACTTTTCTAATCTCACGAGATTGAGAATATTTTGGGCATCTAAAAACATGTTAACGTTTAAACCAAATCCAAGTTGGATTCCTCCTTTCACTGTGAAATTATTGAATTGCGTAACTTGCATATTGGTCCGCAATTTCCTCAGTGGCTTCAAAAGAACTTGTCTCTATTAAATATCTCCCATGCTGAAATTATTATTATTAATAGTTATTATGATTGTAACTTTTTTAAAAAAATCAAAATTTTATCAATAATTACTATAAATAATATAGAAAATTACCTAAATTGTATTAAAGGTTACAAAAAATTTTATAAATGAATATCAAACTTCTAACATTGGTTATAAATTATATTAAAGGTATTTAAAATCAAAATTATATGAAAACTATTAAAATTGTATCAAATATTAGTAAAATTTTATCCAAAATTATCAACTTATATTCATTTCACTTATCTAAAAAAAGGAATTTTTGAAAAATAGAAAGGACAAAAGCAAATTTCAAAATCCTCAGTTTCATGTTGGGTAAGATCTTAAAGAAAGTTGCTTTTCCAACCAAATCTTGCATTCAAGCAAACCCAATTTCAGTTAATTAAAAGACAATAATTTCATAGCTTTGTTGGTTACTTTAACAATTTTTTAATTAATATGCCTGCCAAAGAATAAATTTATAGGCTTTGGCTTTGGGGTTGCTTCAAAGTCATTAGACACCAAAATGCCAGTTAAATTTGGTTATAAAACATGGTTCAATCACCTTATTCCAAAGACTTTTTTTTTTTTTCAATTCCCAACAAAAGCATGTTTTGACTATTAATAGGAATTGTTCTCTTTTTTATGGTCCCTTTTTTCTTATTGGATTAATGCTAATGCGTTCCACGTTAAGCATAATGATATTATTTTAAATTCATTTACATAATTTTGATCTCTTTATTTATCATCAAATAATTGCTAATCTAACATTTATTGATTTTTTAAATTGATTGAATTAATCTTCGGATTCATTATAAAAATAATTTTAGAATCTACATTTGTATATAACTTGTAATAAAATTTTTATTTTCATATTTCAACTTTTTTTAAAAAAAATTATTTTCATTTTCAATTATTAAAGCAAACTTTTACTCTTTTTTTGTTTTCTAAAAATTTTAAAATAAAAATAACTTTATTTTATAAAACTAAATACTAACTTAACTTCTCTAATTTTATTTTTCAAAATATTTTTTTTCTTTTTTTAAGACTTAAGGAGTTTTAAGTAGTTGGCCGTGAAATTTACTCCATAATCTTGGAAGAAAATTCTTAGTGCTTGACGTGGTGGAAAATGTATTTTTTTTTTTACTTTATATATTCGGTGTCACATCTAATTATAAATTAACATATATTTAATTAATTAAAACAATAAAAATTATCAAATACGATAAGTTATAAAATATTAAAAAAAAATAATGTATATTTTTTGTTTTGACAATTAAAAATATTTTTTTCATATTTTAACTTATTTTTATTTTTAATTATTAAATACATTTTCACTTATATTTTTATTTTCAAAAAATATAAATAAAAATTAACTCTATTTTCTAAAATCAAACATTATCATAACTTCTTTAAATTTTATGTAATTTTAATTTTTCTGAACTTATCAATTTTTTCTTTCTTTAGTTGGTCGTGGGTCTTACTCTATGGAATTGGTTGACTTGACTTGGTTTTTTTTATTTGTTTTTTCTACACTTTGTTCAATTTCAAACATACATATAAATGTTATTTTGGAAATTTTAAGTTGAAAAATTGGACGTCTTAGAAGAAACTTCCTAGCACTTGATGTGTCGAACCTTTGAATTTTTTTTTGGTTGGTGGGAGAAGTACAAAAGGTTCCACTTTCCCTCTTTTTCCCGACAAACAACCAAATTCATCAAATATCCCAATTAAACTGTTTTTGCACTTTACAAGAGCAAGATTCAATGAATAGTCATCTTCTTAAAGTCCAATTCCATATTCAAGTATGGAAGAAAATTAAAAATAATCTGAAAATTTTTAAAGAAAATCCTAGAAAACACTGATGAACAATAGACTCATACATGCATATATGTGTGTGCATATATATAATAGATTACTACTTGCTTTTAACTCCACTATCATTGTTTGGTACCAAAAACTCGAAGTCCAGGAAGTATATCAGACTATAGGCCCATTTCTTGTTGCTCGGTCATTTACAAATGCATTGCTAGAATCTTGGCAAGTGTTGGGAAAAACAACACCCACGCGTAGCAACCACACACACAAAATAACAAGCTCAAATCAAGAATAAAAAAACATAAATATATTTGGTTCAGCCCAACTCAAAATGGCCTACTCCAAACCTAATCCACTATCAAATAAATCTTTACAATTGTGAGACTTTTAAAATGAGAAAAGTCTCCTAAAACTCCTTAATCAAAACTTAACCCAAAACCCAATTACACCCTTTAATAGCATACTCACTTAGCTATTCTCTTGATATCTAACTCTATGGGGTTACTAAACTAAAACCAAAACATCTTATTTATAAGGGTGAAACCCTTTATACCTTTACTAAACTCCCGATGTGGGATACAAGACAAATTCAAACTTACTTAACTTTCGATATGGGATTTTGAGATTCAAGGAAAATCCCAACAAATCTTCCCTTGACTTGAATCTCCAAACACTTCAACAGTATCTACAAAGCTAACATGCTTACCTTTCTTCTTTTCTTTCATCACAGGCATTCCAGCAACTGAGCCTCCATCAAACATGTACAAGTGATTGACCCTATTCCCTTGTAGAATCACACTATCATTCTTATACACTTTCAACCAATCATTACTACCATAAAATGTGTACCCCCGAGAAGCTAACTCACCCAAAGCAATCAAATTGTAGTGACAATTTGGTACATACCTTACATGACGAAGTGTCCTAATAACACCATTGTGAGATCTAAGGCGAACACTCCCAATGCCTTGAATCTGCACCTTTTCTTTGTTAGCAACCACAATATCCCCATACTTTTCATTCTCATTCAACTCCACAAAGCAGCTCCTATCATTACAAACATGAACTGTAGTAGCTGAATCTAAAACCCAACCTTTATCACTTTTCAAAGTCTGAGTCTCATCAACACAAGTTATCAAAACAACATCATCATCATCAGACACGATAGCAGTAGGATCACTTTTTTCTTCATCTGATTTCTTCTCATCATTCGCCCTTTTAAAAGCAGCCATATCCCTTCTGAGCTTCCTGTAGTGCACTTGGATATGTCCCTTCTCACCACAATAATAATATTCTACATCACTGTAATCTCTGTCTCTTGACTTGGATCTCCATCTCGATCCATCAATCTTTTTTTGAGTCTTCCTTCGATCAAAACCCTCTACAGCTAGTGTACTTTCCCCAGGTAATGAGTTTTGAGCTCTCATAAACCTTTCATTCTCACGCAACAGGGCAATCACATCATCCAACTTCAAAGTAGACCTGCCCACCAACACAGTTTGAACTAAAGGCCTATAAGACTTGGGCAAAGATGATAGCAAAATTAAAGCTTTCTCTTCATCTTTTAACTCATTAACAGAAATTGCTAGCAATTGAGAAACCAATCTATTAAACTCATTCAGGTGATTATGAAGACTCATACCTTCTTCCATCTTTAGAAAATACAGATCCATCTTCAAACATAATCTATTAGTTAATGACTTCGAAGCATAAATACATTCAAGCTTATCCCACAAGCTCTTCGGAGTACTCTTAGTCAGCATACTATACTTTACTTCTGGAGCTAACGCCAATCTAATAGTACTAACAGCTTTTTTCTGAATCTTATTCCAATTAGCATCAGACATTCTCTCAGGCTTACTACTCTCTAATGCTTGATCCAACCCTTATTGTACTAACAGATCTTGAATCGTACTTTGCCATAACATAAAATTACTCTTTCCATCAAATAACGAAACCTCAAACTTAGGCATAGACATACCAGACATACCTTCTTTAGACATCTTTAAACACTACTTCATGATCTCTTGGACCCACGAACCTTAAACCTCAAACCTCAAACCTCGCTCTGATACCATTTGTTAGGAAAAAAAACACCCACACGTAGCAACCACACACACAAAATAACAAGCTCAAATCAAGAATAAAAAAACACAAATATATTTGGTTCAGCCCAACTCAAAATGGCCTACTCTAAACCTAATCCACTATCAAATAAATCTTTACAATTGTGAGACTTTTAGAATGAGAAAAGTCTCCTAAAACTCCTTAATCAAAACTTAACTCAAAACCCAATTACACCCTTTAATAGCCTACTCACTTAGCTATTCTCTTGGTGTCTAACTCTATGGGGTTACTAAACTAAAACCAAAACATCTTATTTATAAGGGTGAAACCCTTTATACCTTTACTAAACTCCCGATGTGGGATACAAGATAAATTCAAACTTACTTAACTTTCGATATGGGATTCTGAGACTCAAGGTAAATCCCAATAGCAAGTACGCTACAACAGTATTTGCCACCCTTCATCACCAAAAATCAAAGTGCCTTTATTAAAGGAAGAAGCATAATAGACAACGTGCTTATGACCCAAGAACTAGTAAGGGGATATAGTAGAGCAACACTTTCTCCTCGATGTGCGATAAAAATAGACTTAAAGAAAGCGTTTGATTCCTTAAATTGGGAATTTCTAATAAATGTTCTATTAGCTATGTGGTTTTCAAGGAGATTTGTAGGATGGATTAAGAGTTGTCTAACTACTCCAAGATTTTTTTTATCCATCAATGGGAGGCTGGCAGGCTACTTTCGAGGTGCAAGAGGTGTTAGGCAAGGTGACCCTTTGTCACCTTATCTATTTGTTATAGCAATGAATGTCTTATCAAGGCTCTTAGATGCAGCAGCACATTATGAGGTTATTTTTTATCGTCCAAAATGCAAAAAGATAAGATTAACGCACTTGTGCTTTGTTGATGATCTACTAATCTTCACAAAAAAGAAGTTGGAATCCATCTTGGGATACAGCAGGTACTACAATTATTTTATTCATATTCGAGACTTCAGCTTAATTGCGAGAAGAGTGAACTGTTTTCTACAGGTGTTCAAAGAAGTGCATTACAAGAGATAATGCAGGTGACAGGATTCAAACTAGGCACATTTCCTGTAAGATACCTTAGGGTTCCATTAGTTACACGTAGGATCTTCATAAAGGATTGTACTCCGTTAATAGAGAAGATAACAGCCAGAATACATAGTTGGGCAGCAAAAAATTTATCATATGCAGGTAGATTACAGCTGATACAATCGATCATATTTAGTATTCAAAGCTACTGGTGCAGACATTTTATACTGCCAAAAAGGGTGTTCCAAAAGGTTATACAGCTATGTTCAAGGTATTTCTGGAAAGGGCAGAATGAATCAGCTAAAGGGGCAAGGGTTAAATGGCAAACTCTATGTAGGCCTAAATCCGAAAGAGGACTCGGGTTAAAAGACTTGTTCATTTGGAATCAAGCTTGCATGATTAGATTTCTATGGTCTATTTTCTCAAAAGCAGGTTCATTGTGGATTGCATGGGTGCATAGTTATGTGCTTAAAGGGCGCAATAAATGGGAGGTACTTATTACACAAAGTAACAGTTGAAGCATGAAAACACTATTACAAATGAAGAGACATGCCACTCGATTGCAAATAGAGAAAGGCATAGGATGGAATGGGAGAGGTACTGAGAACTCAGTTACAGCTATATGGGATGAATTAAGACCGAAACAAATGAAGGTAGTGTGGCGTAGGCTAATATGGTGTAAGATGCATGTACCCAAACATGCAATCATAGCTTGGATAGCGATATTAAATAGACTTCCTACCAAGGATAGATTGAACGCATGGGGGATTACAAATGAAACAGCGTGTGTGCAATGCAAACAAGAGGATGAGTCTATGAGCCATATCTTCTTTAGTTGCAATTACTCTAAAGCTGTGTGGAAATAGGTTTTACAGCTTTGCAAGTTACATAGAGAGGTATGTGGTTGGGAAGAGGAATTCCATTGGGCTGTAAGTAGGGTGAGAGGGAAGGCACTAATATCTATCATATTGAGACTGGCATAGGGTGCATACATTTATCTGATTTGGAGTGAAAGGAATAAGAGGCAATTTGCTACTGTGGAAAGTAACGAAGGGCAGATCCTTAGAATGATAAAAGAAGTGATACAATTAAGATTGATTGGGCTGGAAAATATTGCTTTTGATAGTGTAAATAAAGATTTATGTGAGAAATGGGGTTTAAGAGGGGATATATTTGTATAGAAGCCTGAATGACAGTTGGAATTATATGTGTAGACACCCAATTTGATCCAGGCCCGGATCAATTGGGCCTGGTCCAAATAGGTAAGTCTATGTTCTTTTTTCTTCATTTTATTTTTATTTTTTATTTTTATTTTTGTATTTTACATTCTTATTTTATTTCTATTTTATTTTTATTATTATTATTATTATTATTATTATTATTATTATTATTATGATTTTATATTTTTTTTCTTTTATTTTTTTTATCTTAGGTATTTATGTATTTATTAATATGTATATATATTTATTATTTTTTTCTTTTTTTTTTCTTGTTAATATTTATGTATATAAGATTATGTATTATCTTTTATTTAATTTTAATTTATCTGTTAATTTTCTTGATTTATCTGATTTATTTTCATTTAATTTTTTTTATTTTTTTGATTTATCTGGCTGGAAATTGGATTGGAATTTAATCAGAAGAGTCCATGTTGGATTCAATGATTGAATCCTGATCCAAAGAGGAATTGAGATTGATCAGAAACTCTTCTGATCAATCCCTATAAAAGGGATCCTCTGAAATAGAAGAACACACAGAAAACAGAAGCAAAAAGAATACTGGTTGAGTGAAAAAGAGATACAGAGAAGATTTAAAGGTTAGGAAGGTTTTGGTGCGTTTAGAACAGCTCTAGGAATTAGCAGGAATTTTTGGAGAATTTTTGCGATTTTTTTTCTGGGAATTTCTGAAAAATTCCAGATTTCGGTTGAATTTTTTGGCAAAAGTTGAATTTTTCGAAGACAATTTCGACCAAGTTTGAAGTTTTCGGCCAGCTGCCCAGTTTTCGATGAAGATTCCCAGAAACCGACCAACTTTTCGGTGAACTTTCGATAAAAAACCCAGATTCCGACGAAAAATTCTAGAATCCAGTAAATATTCAACTGGAGTTCTTCGGTCGTTTTAGAGAAAAACGAGAGAAAAAAGAAGGAAGAGAGAGAGAGGAGAGAAGGTTTCTGCTAAAAAACGAAGGAAACAGCCTTATATACCCTCCCAAAATGACGTCGTTTTTATGTTAAATAACCCAGAGGATCCGCGCGTTTTGTCGAGATCCGACTCGACCCGAGCGTCGACCTGCTTTCTGACCCGCGCGTGTTTTGCCTCCTCGAGCCGTTAGCTGAGCCAAGCCGACGTCCCGAGCCGTTTCTCTTCCTTGAGCCGAGCCGAGCCGTACTCTGAGCCGCTCCAGGTTTTTTTTTTTATATATTTATTTATTTATTTGTTTTTTTATTTATTAAATTAGAATTATTTAATGTTCTTTTATCTTTATTTTATTTTTATTTTTGTTTTACTTTTTTTTTTATTTTCACTTTTATTTTGTTTTATTATTTTATTTTCTTTAAATAAAACCTAAAAAATAATATTTTTGGGGAAAAGTTGAAATTACAATTTTTCTTAAAAATAAATTTTCAAAAAAAAAGTTTTTGAAGAAAAGTTGAAAGTATCAATTTTCCTCGAAAATCAAAGAATCCAAAAAAAAAAATTTTTGGAGAAAAGTTGAAAGTATCAATTTTCTTTAAAAAATAAATTTTCAAAAAAGGTTTTTGAGGAAAAGTTGAAAGTAATTAATTTTCTTCGAAAATCAAAGTTTCCAAAAAATATTTTTGAGAAAAAGTTGAAAGTATCAATTTTTCTTAAAAAAAAATTTTCAAAAAAATTTTTTTTTAAGGAAAAGTTGAAAATATCAATTTTCCTCGAAAATCAAAGTTTTCAAAAAAATATTTTGGGGAAAAGTTGAAAGTATCAATTTTCCTCGAAATTAAAGTTTTAAAAGAATATTTTTGAGAAAAAGTTAAAAGTATCAATTTTCCCTACACAAAATAATCATTCTTTTCTTCCATTTTTTTATGTTAAATAATCCGACGATGGAGCCTCTGCAAGTGAAACAGTAGTTTTTCTTGCATACTCCTAAGGTGAGGGAATTTTTTTAATTTTTTACTAAAAGTATTAGAGTCAATTGAGAATAATTTTCAATAATTAATTACTTGGTAAAATTTTAAGGCTAATTGGATAATACAAATTTAAGCTGGTACCATCTTTTGATGGGCGTTGTGAGGGTGCTATAACCTTCCTCACACGTAACCGAACTCCTGAGTCCTGTTCTGATCAGTAGACCCGACCTATTCTTTTAGGGACTCTTAAACTTAGGTGTTCCCCGAAAGGACAGATTTCTTAGTTAGTCAATCGCACCTAAATAAAAAGATTGGTGACGACTCCCTTAAATCAATGTCTAGCGATAGATCTCCAGATCTAGACGTTATGACAATATGAGTTGTATATTGGTAGTAAGTGAATAACTATTTTTAAGCAATAAAATTATAAATTATCCAAGAAAAAAAAGTTGTAAAAAAATTGAATAAAAATTGAATAATCATTTAATTTCAATAATTTATTATAATCAATCGAGCATTAAATTTTTTGTTTTGGATTAATTGACTTTTCGTTTGGATTAATTGACTTTTTCTATTTCAGATCCATTGAATTCTTAAATATTTATTTTCATTTTAATTGAATTATCGATTAAACGAAAATGAGTATATACGGTTAATAATTTTTCATCTAATAAATGAAATAGATGTTTGGGGATTTAATTAATTACAATAAAACATAGAGACTTGGATGATTATTAAATTCTTATTCAAAATTTTTTAAACCCTTTTTGCTGTATACACACACACGTATATAATACTATTCTTAACATGATATATACATGCAATATATTCTTTTGGAAAAATTTCCAGCTGGAATATCAATTTATTTTTTATTACAAGAGGAGGTATTTACCTAACTATTTCACGAGTTAAAACATTTTTTCAATATTATGTAATTTTAGATTACATAATGAAAATAGTTTTTTTTTGGCATAAATTTGTCCTTTTAATTTAGCATTTGAATAAAAAATTTTCAAATTAAAATCTTAAATTTTCATTGTTGAGACATCTCATTGACAATATAATTAAAACATTTATCATGTAAAGACATAATATGAGTAATTCAATTCACTTATGCATCTTGATCTTTAAATGTTTATTATCAATAAAAATTATAATATATACTACAAATAAAGATAAGAAAAAAAGGTTTTTTTTTATAATATCATCAAGGATATTTTAAAATTTTGTTTAGGCTTTTTTTTGTAATCTTAAAAAATATATTTTTTCACATCGGTTCAATGTATTTAAAGTCTTATTTTTTAAATATATTTCATAAAAATCGAATTTGAATTGACAAAAAAAATATTCTTTTTGTCATCATGTATAAATCTGTAAATTTATAGTTAAAAGCATAACTTATCATTAAACATGATTTTAAGAGTCGCTATTAATTTTTGTGTGATTGATTATCTAAGTGTATCTATTCTTTTTAAGGATATTTTATTTTTAAAACCAAACACTAACTTCTCTAAATTTTATATAATTTTATCTTTCTAAACTTTTCAATTTTTTCTCTTTTCTAAGACCTTAGGAGTCTTAATTAGTTGGTCATGGGACTTACTCTATAAACTTGGTCGACTTGACTTATCCTTTTTTGTTCTCTTTCTACGCTCTGTCGAATTTTAAACATACATATGAATGCTTTTTGTGGAAAATTCAAGCTGGAAAATTGAAGGTCTTGGAAGAAACTTCCTAGCACTTGATGTGGTGGAAAATGTTTTTCTTTTAACTTTATATTTTTAATGGTGCATCTAATTATAAATATAATATATATTTATTAATTAATGACATTAAAAAATGTCAAATATGATAATTTGTAAAATATAAAAAAAAAATAATATACATCTTTTACTTTTACAATTGAAAATATTTTTTTATTTTTATATTTCAACTCATTTTCATTTTTATTTTTTACAAAATTTATTTTCATTTTCAATTATCAAACATATTTTCACCCATATTTTTTATTTTTAAAATAAAAATAAAAATAATTTAATTTTTTGAAACCAAACATTACTTTAACTTCTTTCAATTTTATATAATTTTATTTTTTATAAACTTTTCAATTCTTTTCTTTTCTAAGACCTAGGCAGTCTTAATTAGTTGGCCGTCAGACTTACTCCATAGACTTGGTTGACTTGACTTTCCCTTTTTGGTTCTTTCTTTCTACATTTGTTGAATTTTAAACATACATATGAATGCTTATTATGGAAATTTCAAGCTGGAAAATTGGAGGTCTTGGAAGAAACTTCCTAGCGCTTGATGTTGTGGAAAGTGTTTTTTCTTTTAACTTCATATATTTGGTGTTGGTAGCAATGATCGGCATACAACCATGAGAGCAGTTACAAATTCCTTTTTTGGATTTCTTTTTGTCATCGTAGCCACCATTATTAGCATTTGTGATGGGAATTCCAATGTGCTTTGCATTGAAAGTGAGAGGCAAGCCCTTTTGAAGTTCAAGCAAAACCTCATTGATCGATCAAATAGGCTATCTTCTTGGGTTGAAGGTGAGGATTGCTGTGAATGGGTTGGTGTTTTCTGCAATAACTTCACTGGCCATGTCAAATAGCTGCATTTGGGGCTTCATTCAAGTAGTCCTGATGTAGAACTGGATGATGAATGGGATGGTTACTTTCAGTCAGCTGAATGGAATGCTTACTTTTGGTCAAAGCTAGGAGGCAAAATAAATCCTTCTTTGATCGAGTTGAAACATCTCAGTTTCCTAGACTTAAGCAACAACGACTTTAGAGGCTTGGCAATTCCTGAATTCATTGGTTCGATGAAGAGTTTGATACATCTTAACCTCTCTTTGGCAAATTTCAGCAGAACAATTCCCCATAATCTTGGAAATCTCTCAAAATTACAATGTCTTGATCTTGGATACAATTCCTTTTTTGAAGCTAAAACTCTTCAATGGGTTTCTGGTCTTTCATCTCTGCAATATCTTGATTTGAGTCATGTAGATCTTGGTAAAGCAACTGATTGGCTGCAGGCAACACACAAACTTCCTTCTTTGGTGGAGTTGCACTTGTCAGATTGCTATTTAAATAATAATGATCCATCTTCAATCAGGGTTAACTACACATCTCTTGCCGTTCTTGATCTTTCTTCAAACATGTTGTCTTCGATACCTACCTGGATATTCAGTCTTCGTAGTATTGTGTCCATTGATCTTAGCTCTAATGGAGTTGAAGGTGTGATTCTCAATGGTTTTCAAAACATATCTTCTCTCAAATTTCTTGATCTTAGTTGGAATTCATTCTCTTCATCATCGACACTCAGCTGGTTGTCTAATTTAAACCAACTTCAATTCCTTGGTCTTGGTGATGTCGGCCTGAAAGGTAATTTTTCAATTGCCAATAGAAACTTGAGCTCTCTTACTCATCTTGATGTTTCACGTAATGGAATTGATCAAGAGGTATCAGAAATCATAGAGAGTTTGTCTAGATGTTGTTTGGATCGATTAGAGTCATTAAATATTGCATCTAACAAACTTTCTGGCCATTTACCTGATCAACTTGGTCAATTTAAAAATTTGGCATACCTTTTCCTTTCTAGAAACTCCATTTCGGGTCCTATTCCATTCTCAATAGGGAAGTTGCCATCATTGAAACTTCTTGATGTTTCATACAATCAATTGAATGCAACTCTTCCTCAAAGTTTAGGACAACTTAGGAATTTGGAACATTTAGACATTAGCAATAATATGTTGGAAGGAAATCTATCAGAAATGCACTTTTCTAAGCTCACGAGATTGAGATTATTTTGGGCATCTAACAACTTGATAACGTTTAAACCAAATCCAAGTTGGATTCCTCCTTTTCACTGTGAAAGTATTGAATTGCGTAACTGGCATATTGGTCCGCAATTTCCTCAGTGGCTACAATTCCAAAAGAACTTGTCTCGTTTAGCATATCTCCCATTGCTGAAATTTCGGGTGTCATCCCCACTTGGTTTGGAGCCTTTCGACTCAATTTGAATATCTAAAACCTTCCCATAACCATGCTAGTCTGGAGGATTTCATATTTACCGAAGAGTAGGACAGTTGACTTGAGGTCCAACCCTACTCACAGGTCCATTTGCCACGCAGCCAATTTCACATTTGGAGTTTTTATTTTTGTCTAAGAATCTATTTTCAGGTATCCCTTCTAATATTCTTTGGAATTCCTCACTAAACTGGAACTTTGACCATTCTTGACATTGAAATCAAGTCTTTCTGGTCAGCCTGCAATTCCAGATTGTGTGGGAAAAATTGGCAAATGTTGGAAAGTTAATTTAGGAAACAACAATCTAACTGGGAAAAAATACCTAGATCCTTTGGGATCGTCTGTGTTTTATTATCTTTTTAAACCTTCGTAACAACAGCTTGTTTGGAGAAGTACCCATCCCCATTGCAGGCATTTTGTCTATATGCTATTCTTGATCTTAGTGAAAATCAATTACGGGAAGTATCCAGCATGGATTGGAGACAGCTTTTAACCTTGTGGTTCTAAACCTTCGTTCAAATAAATTCCAAGCCTATATCCTATCAAATTTGTGCTCTTAATTCTCTCTAGTCTTGATCTTGGTTATAAACAACATTTCAGGAGCTATTCCAAAATCGTTGTTAAGTAAACCTAAGTGCCATGGCAAAACGCCTCCAACGGAAACTTGTTGGTAGGGGTCTGGGAATTCCAACTCTCTGACAACTCGGTTTAATTAGGCCTGCACTATTGGTGACGAGAGGAAGAGAGGATGAATATAGTACCACACTAGGATTGTTACTGGATAGACCTTTCAGCTTAACAGTCTCACAGGAGAATCCAGAAGAAACTTGGTAATCTCAAACGAAGCCTGCCGGTCGTTAAATTTGTCAAGGAAATCTCCTACAGAGACCAGATACCAGAGAACATTGGCAAATAATGGTGTTGGAATCTCTTGGACTTGTCCGATGAACCGACTCCATGGTGAAATCCCCTTCAAAGTTTCTCCAATTTGAATTTCTTGGAATCACTTCAACGTGTCATATAACAACTTGACAGACAACCCATCAGGCACCCAGCCTTCCAAAGCTTTGACAGGTTTCCTACATTGGCAATCATCTATGCGGACCACCATCACTGAAATTGCAGCAGAAAATGGCGAAACACCTGAATTAAAATGGAGAGATAGCAGTGAAGGAAGGCACAGGTCTAAGGTGAAATTGGCTTATGGTGAGCATAGTGGTTGATATGTGATGGGGTTTGGGGAGTAGTGGCTCCCCATGTATTTCATCAGGTCATTGGAGGTATGCTTACTATAAAAACTAGAGCATATTGGGTGGTAAAGCTATAACGTGCTTTGGGCTCTATTGGTATGTAATGTTGCACTGGAAGCTCATTTTGGTCTATTTGGTATGTAATAACTTGATTTCCATGCTCTTTACTTGAATCCATCTATTCGGATTTGGATGTAGTATTCCATGTTATAATTTATTCAAATGAAATAGAATTGTGTCTTAATTTATCTCATTTATCGATGTCTATTCAAGTTTTATTCAATATGGGGTGAAGGTTGTCTTTAAAGAGGGCAAAATCACTGATCCTCTAATTTGAAATATTTGTCATCCTAGCCACATTTATGATTTTGATGTGTTGTTCAAAAGTAAAATTCTAAGCTAATGAGGAATTGAGT